ACCAGCAGTATTCAATCATTGGTGGGGGTATCTACCCTCATTACATTATGTAATCTTATTACCTGCCAAAGGCCTCGCTTCTAAACATAATAGTTGAATTAAGTTTCTACTCTCTTACTTCCTATAATGGAGATTGAACTTCGTATGTGAACCCTTGAAGGATACACTCAAACCATATCCAAACTATATCACAGCTTAACTTTAAGTGAATGGGGAAGTGCAATTCTGAATGTGACCTGAAGATGAGGAGACCATATGTCCACAGGCACTGAGATTACTTTGTAGGGAAATTATTTAAGCCCAGAAAAAGACATGGGGTTACTTATATTAAGGTGGTACCCCAGTCCAAAAGCCATCTGTTTCCTGAGTTACCCTTTGGTGAGGCATGTGTCAACAGATCCCACCTAGTCACAAACAGCTTCCAATCAGAATATTGGTGCCTTGCTGTCTTCTCCTCCATTGTCAATACTGGGGATTGAACTCAGGGCCTTGTGCTTGCTAGCCAAGGACTCTACACTTGAGCCATACCCCCAGTCCTTTATGCTTCTAGTTTGTTTTTCAGACAGAGTCTTGTGTTTTGCCCAGGGTCAGCCTCAGACAGCAATACCCCTACCTCCACCTCCCGAATAGCTGGGATTACAGTTATGAACCAATACTTGGCCTTCTAGTGCCTCATTCTTGAACATAAACAAGCAACCAAAAATTGCTGGACACTTGAGAAAATCCTCTAATTTGAAAGATAGACAGCAAAACAAACAAATAACAAACTTTAAGAAAATAAATGTGATATAGGAAGCAGAAGAAAACTTATGCAAACAAAATTAATATTATTAAATAACTGGAAAATATATTTCTGAAACAAGAATAAGAGGTTATAAAAAGAATATTCAGGGAACAAGAGTTTTTGACATTCTGGTAAAAAAAATGAACTCAATCAGATCAGACCTCTAGACCAAAGGAAATACTACAGGAGACAGAGTAATATATTAAACAGTGCCCCAGGGACTAACCAGTAAAATTCAGTTTCTTGGAATCTGTACAAGAAAAGGAATTCACATTTTTTCCCAACAAATAAAAATGAGATGGAGGATGGAAACTACAGATGAAATAAAGACCTAAGGGACATATAAAACAATTGATGACCTTAAGTAGAAAAGAGACAGCTCAACATTTAGTGTTGATGAGTAAGTGAAATTATAAGCCAATTTAATTTATGAATATAATGCAAAAATTGAATGCAGTATCAGTGAATAGAATGCCTCAGCATGTTTATTAAAAATTCATCAACATGAAATCAGGTTTTATTCCAGGAATTTTAAGATAGAGTAACATTAGAGATCCTGTTAAGGTTATGCATCTCAATAACAGATTAAAGAAACTCAGACATGATCATATGATAAAAATGAAGATATGCAATACTGACCCTCATTCATGATAAAAAGAAAAGTCTTTTAGTAAAAAAAAGGAAAAACATTTTACCTTAAAAATTGTGTCTATCCCCAGCCTACTGTGGCCATCATGATTGATGGTGAAATATAAATAGCCTTTCCCTAAAGTCAGAACAGATCAAGGTATCCTGCTACTTAACAGTACATAGGAAGTCCCAGTTAATGTAATACATTAAGGGGAGAATGAAGGAGAAATGGGGGAAAGGGTGGGGTGTCATGGGGTGGGGGAAAAAATCAGAAATCATATTATTTTTATTTATTTATTTTTTTGGTGGTACTGAGGTTTGACTCAGGGCCTCACACTTGCTAGGTAGGTACTCCACCACTTGAGTCACCTCACCAAACTAGAAATCCTATTATTATTATTATTATTATGTGCAAATGCTATGATTATCTTTTTGAACTAATAAAAGAATCCAGCAACTTTGCTAGAAACAAAATTGGTATAAAGAAATCAGGTACATTTTTTGTACCAATGTCAACAAAGTATAGCTTTTAAAAGACAGAATTATGAATAGCATAAAAGGTATAAAGTGCTTAAGTGTGAATATAACAAAAATTGTGCAAGACCCTGGTAAAAAATAAAACATTATATTGATGGACATAAAGGACTGTCTAAATAAATTGAGAGGTATATTGTGTTTATGGATGAGAAGAAGCATTCTAGAGATACACATCCCTTCTCCCTCTAAAAATCTGTACATTCTAGTTAATTCTAACAAAAATTCTAAAAAAAATGTGTGTGGACACTGACAAGCTTATCCTAAAAATTGTTGTGGAAGAATAAAGGGCTAAGAATATCTTGAAAAATTTGAGGGAGAATAAGGAATAGCCCTATAAGACTTTAAGGTTTAGCCAGGCCCCAGCGGCTCTCGCCTGTAACTCTAACTACTTGGAAGGCAGAGATCAGGAGGATCAAGGCTCAAAATACAAAATAAAGCGCTGGCAGAGTGGCTCAAGTGGATGAGCACCTGCCTGGAAAGTGTGAGGCCCTGAGTTCAAACCCCAGTACCTATGCGCGCGCGCGCGCGCACACACACACACACACACACACACACACACACACACTCACACAGATTTTAGAGTTTGCTCTAAAGCAATAGTAAAGATGCCGAAGGGTCAGGCTTTACTCCCAGCTGTGTGTGATGGGGCCAGCTGTGTGGCCTGCCTCCTTCTCTTGGCTTGGGCCTTGGGATCTGCATGCCTCTAACTCATCCTCCCACTTGTCATCTCCTCTGTGACCTGGGTCTTGTCCAGAAGCCAGTGTCTTTGTTTCTATGGAGTCACTTTCCAATTATCTTTGTCATGACTTCTAGTTTTACTGGGTTACGATAAGGTTATATTTACTTTAAAATCTACTCTGGGGAATGTACGAGGATTTTCCCTGTGATAGATACATGATCAGTATTGGTAAATGCATGTAAGGGAATAATGTTGTTTTTTCTTTGTACGGTATGAAGTTTAAAAACACATATTCATCTCAGCTATTTGATGATGTAATTCAAATTCTCTATATCCTTCACTTTTTTCCTTGATCTAGTTAATTTGCTAAATACAGTTGTGTGTCACTTAAGTGATAGGGCTAAGTTCTGAGAAATGCATTTGTTTGTCAATTTTGCCATTGTGCAAGCATCAGAGAGTGTGTTTACACAAACCTAGATGGTATAGCCTACGGCTCATCCAGGCCTTATTATCATCTCATGGGACCACCATTGTTTGTGTGGTTGGCTGACCAAATTGTGGTTATGGCACATGATTGTACTGAGAGTAGTGCACTAAAGTCCTTGTGGGGCTAGTAACAGATTTGGTTCTGACTCTTTCTGAGTTTGTAATTAGTGTGCATTTCTGAGGTGGGGCCCGAGACTTGCTTTGGCCGAAAGCATGGTAGCAACTGTGGTGTGGTCACTTTGAGCAGAGGCCTCAAGAGCTTGTGATCTCATGCTTGTAAATGAGATGCCACTGTAAACAGTGTGCGTCAATCCCAGGCCTCCTGGGGCGTGTGAAATCAGGCGGGTCTTGTCTACACTCTCTATTTGCCTTCTCAGTGGCTGAAACCTAGATAGGGCGACAATGGAGCTTCAGTCACATGGCTGATGGTGGTGGAATGGTGACTAAAACACAACCCAGATGTTGAAGGCCTATTGGCCTGCGCCATTTTCTCCAGAACTGCCAGATAAGAATGAAGTAAATGGGGCTGGGGAAGAGGCTCAAGTTGTAGAGCATCTGCCTAGCAAGTGCAAGTGCAAGGTCCTGAGTTCAAACCCTAGTACTGCCACCAAAAAAAAAAAAAAAAAAGAATGAAGTAAATGTCTGAATTCTTTTTTTTTTAAACTTTAGTGTCTGTTATTATTTTAGTTCATTTATTACATTGTACTTATTTGATTTTCTTTGGGATTTTTTTTTTCATTGCTCTAGAATTATGCCTCTTCAAGTGTATGAAATGTGTGGTACAGAAAATGACTTCAGGGGTACTTTGATGAACTTAATGTAATAGTGGTATATCATTTATAATTAAGTATATTAGAAAATATGTACAGACTTCAGTTCCCTAATTTGTTACTTGGAACAAGATTAATCAATGGAATTGGAGTTTTAAAAGAATTTTTTACAATTCAATTTTTATTAGAATATATTAATTGTATGAAGAGGTTTCATTATGACATTTCCATACCTGCATACAATATGTACTTTGATAGAGAATTTTTATGAAAGAGTAAATAATAATACAAATAACATGATATGATGACTTCCTGAATTTTGGGAAGCTGGTAATATTCCCTAGTCATAATCTATCTTGCTTTATGATAGGGATTAGATAGATTGATAAAATAGCAACTTCTTTTAAATTTGGCCACTTTGGCAAAAAGCAGTTTTTGCCTGAATGGAAGCTGAAATGAAGTCTTTGCAGCAAAAAATGCTAAAGGTGAGAGTGGGGGAAACAGTAGGAATGGGAGAGTAAAAAGGGAGGACAGTCCTGAAATTGGGGTTCTGGTTGTAGTATACTTGTGTGCCAGGCTGGTAAGTGGAGGAAATACAATTTTGGATCCGAGACTGCTCAGACCCTTAATATCACCCAAGAAAAGTGCTTTGGTTGTCTGAGATCTGTGCAATCACCAGCCATAAGTGCATGCTTTACTGCCACTTGCAAGTATTTATTTTTTCAATATAAATTCAGGGTCAGATTTAAGGCATGTCTAGGAATAAAGCATATCGTCATGTGAACTGAGCTGAAATGTTTGAATTCTTTAAGCCACTGTGCTCTGAGTATTTTGGTTAGGCTATAAAACCCAGGGAGTGCAGTGTAGGCCCTGAAGGAAGATAGAGCCAAGTCCCAGGCTCATGGTGGAGGAAGTCACAGAGTTGGAGCAACTTTCACACCTGGTACCTTTCCTCTGCCATGGGGATCAACATCCTTGTAGACTCAGGCTAATGACCCAGAATTAAACTAAGCTTGACTTGGTGGTGATAGGCAGCAGAATGCGGCCATACCGTGAGGTCCTGGGCAGTGACTGGCCTTTCTCTTATGTGGCCGGGGTCCCTCTGGAACCCTTATCAGTAGTGGACACAGTAAAGCTGGACACTTCCACTGATCCGGAGCTCCCGCAGTCTTTCCAGTGCCTGCTGGTCCAGGCTGGTGGCTCCCAGCCTCTGCCCATTGAGTGCCAGCTTCAGTCCTCCCTCCTGGCACAGAAGCAGCACCTGGCAGGGAGGGCTTGAGTAGGTGAGGGGCTTCCAGACAGACCCTCCTTTGCCTGTCTGATGTGTTATTCACAGAGACCTCCTCCCCTCAGAGGACACATGACTGGAACCAGAGAGACTCAGCTTGTCACCAGCTCATTGTGGCTTCTGACAAGGATCTTCCTGGCCCTTGGCCTCAGAATCACCATCTGCAATGGGAGTTTCTTCTTGTTGGGAAGTAGGTCTGAGTCCTGGCACACTGGAACCATTAGGATTGCTTTTTAATAAGGCTAAGGCTTGAGCCCCCACTGCATTACTTATGCCAGAGTTTCTTAAGGCAGGATTCCAGGCATCAGCATGGAGAGTTGAGAATCAAGGCCTGTAGGTTCTCTCTGCTGGGATCCCTCCAGTTTCCAGTTCAATGACTTTTGGCTGCCCACCCACCCTAGGATATATGCCCTATAGTCTCCCAGATCATTATGGGAATCAGCTCAGTGTCCATTCCTAGAGAGATGCAGTCATTTGGTTCAGACCTACCTCGAAAAAGCGCTGAGGGTAAAAGAGGAAGGGGGCTGAGATCAGCTTCTTGCGTCCCCAGGGGGAAACCCAGGCCAGGGTTTTATCTGCGAAGGAAACCCTGAGTGTCACAGGAACGTGAGCGGTCTCATCCCTCAGGCTCAGGGTGAAGCTGCAGGAAGCAGGCCCAGAAAAGGGGATCAACCTCCACTGTTCTCAGGCCATTGTGTACCCCAGGGGGAAGGCTGGATGTGGGATAGCAGCTGGAAGGTTCACAGTTTCTGAGCATTAAGTGTCTGTACAAGCTCTGGGATAGATGCTTGGATACAATATTTCAGAGGAGTGGAAAAACATGAGTGAATCTCCAAATTGCCATCTACTGACTGGAGGACCATGGAGTAGGGATTACCTAGTTTGAGCCTCAGTTTTTCCTCCTGAAAATGGGGATAATTATGATAATGATAGTAGCAGCTAACATTTTTGTTTGTTTGTTTTGCAGCAGGGTCTCCCTATGTAGCCAGGCTGGTGTAGAGCTTGCAATCCACTAGCCTCAGCTAACTATGTGCCAGGTATTGTCTTAAATATTTTGTATATAGTTCAGTGGTTAGAGCCAGGCTTCAGGTGTTTAATCCTGGCTCTGCTGCTTTTTAGTCCTGTGAATTTAAGCAAATCATTAATCTCTTTGTGTCTGTTCCCTTATCTATAATTTAGGGATAACAGCAATATGGTTTCTGTCTTCTGGGGTTGTTGTTAGAATGAAATAAGTTAATAAACATAAAGTACTTGTGTAGAATAGTACCTGGCACATAGTAAGCACTCAAATGATACTTACTGCTTTAAAAAATTATATAATACAATATCTATCTCATAAGGCCCACCTCCCCACACAAAGAAAATAAATAGGAATGGAGGAGGCAATGTATGTGAAAACTAGGAAGAACCCGGTGCACAACAGGGATTTTACAGAAGCTAGGGTTTGCATTTCCGTAGTCTTCACAAAAATCCTGTACCATGAAATTTATCAGCTCACTCAGCTAATGAGGACAGGAAGTTAAATGATTTGCTCTGTTATTTGTAGTAGCTGTGGGGTCTCAGGCTGGGATGTGAACCAGGATCACAAGTCCAGACTGGGAAGATCTTTCTACTGGCATCTTCCTGGCACCTGCCTCTCAGTGAGGGCTCCAAGACTCTGTTCCATGTCTTGGAAGCTTCCAGACACCATCTTTGAAGCACCACCCCTGAGGGTGCTGTTGGCAGCAGGAAGCAGTTGAAGAGACACGGGATGCAGATGGCGGGGGCAAATTTGAAGAGATACCTGCCTTGGAGAGGTTTTCAGAGACTCCTATGAGACCTACCAGGAGGAGGCTTCATGAATTTCTAGCTTTGGAAAAGGGACAGTAAGGGCTTAATGTTGGAAAGAAGTTTGGAAAGCAAGGACACAGAGAATGTATTGTGTGGAGGCTGTGGTCTGGAACTGGTCAGCCCCATCACCCTCCCCAGATAAGTCTTTGTTTATGCATAGGCTTGAGACTTCTTAGAGGCATACTTGTCTTCTCCCTCCCTTGCCCCTCCACCACCTTATCCACCCTGGAGTGGATAAGGGACTCTAAATGTCTTGCAAAACTTTGTGAAGCTCTTGCAGGCTGCGACCACACTCCCTACTCAGTATGTGTGTGTGAAGTGGTTGGGGGGAGGGAAGGACAGGCTTTCATGACAAATGAAACCATGCCCACCAACTTTTGCTCCCTCTGTCCAATTCAACTATTGTTTGTTTCAGAAAGCAGCAGCATTCACTGCAGGCTTACCAAGTGCCAAGCACTGTGCTAAGGTTGGATGTTTGTGGCTCACAGCCATAGGAACGTTCTGCCTGGTCCACAGTATTCTTCAATTTTAAATAAATACCAAATTTAAAACTGAGTTTATATAAAAGATGATTTTCAACTTCTCTTTAAAAAAAACAGAAGATCTAGCATTGTAGCAGGGAGGAGGATCAGAAGAAAACAGATAGGCCTGAGTCCTGATAAAGTAGCAGGGGGAAGGGATGGCATAGCAGAGAGATAAAACCTAAAGGAGGTCACATAGCACGAGGGGTAGAAGGGCACTTAGCACTAGGGTGAAGTAGCCTATAGAGTTGCATGTAACCATATATGGGTTAAACCTTGTTGTTTTAATTGTATTGCCTCTGTAACCTGCTTGCAAGGGTACATAAGGTGAAACCCCTTTGTTCTCGGGCTCAGGCTTTGGACACCAGTCCACTGAGTCTGTGCTGGCACAAAAAAGCGTTGCTTCCTGCTAAACTGCCTCAGTGTTCCCTATCTCAGCTAGCAACTTCCTGCAACAGCATGACTGGGCCTATGGAAATGGCCTTTCTACTTCATCCCCTTCCCAATCTGGTGTGTTACCATTTATGTGACGTGTCTGACCTCTGAGAATATGTGCAACTGTGGCCCTTGAGAAAGAGCAGTTAAGTTATTCATGGTGTTAGTAATAACAGTCGTGTGACTTTGAGCTAGGACGTGAACCGGGTCTCAAATCTCCAGGGTTTGAGTGAGGTCGTTTTACTTTGACCACTGAGCACCTTTTTATTTTCCCCATCAGGTTTGGATTATTTTTTTCTCCTTTTTTCAACATAGAAACTCAGACTCAGAGAGGTATAGTGACTTGTCCAAGTACACACAGTTTACAAGAGGCAAAATCAGGAATCCAACCAGTCATGCCTGGCTTTGGAGGCCTATGCTATCCAGTGCTGTTATTCTAGGGCAGTTCCTGCCCTAGAATAAATAGAATGTATGATCAGGAGCACACTGGGGAAAGGTTTACTGAGGTCAGTGACTTAAATAAGAACATAAACAAAGCAGGGAGAGCACAGGGTGCTGTCCTCACTCTCCCCTCTCCTGCCTCCTCTGAGATAATTCGGATATCACCACATTGTGGAGCACTTTCTGTGCAAGCAAATGAACAGGCTGCCCTGGTCTAACTGGATTGGAGCTATAGGTCTGTGTTTGAGTGCCTCCTGGAAGAGAACCAGGCAGCATTTGTTTAGTAACTAATTCTTGTCTTCCAAGTACCAGCTCTCCTCTCTAGGGTACTTTGGCTGTTTCTTAAACTAAGCATTGTGTCTCGGTGGGAGTCCACATCTTCTCTCTGGGCTTCAGCCTGTGCCTGTACAGTGCTTTCCTGGGATCTATGATGCGAGACTGGTTGGTCTGACCAGAGGCACCACAGGGAGGATGCTCCTGCAAGTCTGACTGACTGCAGGCCCCAAATCCCAGCCTGACTTTCATGAGCTTGTGACCTTGGGAAACTTACTTCTTTCTGCTCCTCTGCTTTCTCATCTATAAGAAAGGGATTAAACAGTGGTGCTTGGAAATTGAAAGAGAGGGTTTTTAAGTTGGATACTTACTCCTTTGGCTCTTGCAAGATCAGTCCCCGAACTATGATGACTTGTCCAGGCCAGAGACCCTGAGGAAGAGCACGTGAGCAGGGCACTTCCTGAAAGTGATGGGAGAGGACTAAGAAGGTGATCACAGGGGGCTCAGGGAGGGTCCCCACTAATAGGATCAGCTCTTTTGGGCTACCCTCAGGGACCAGGGGAGCACCAGGACAGGCAAGTTTCTTGCAGCCAGGAGACCCAGCTCTGCCTCTTTATTAAGCACCTGCTGCATGCCTGCTGAAAACTTGCCCTGGCCCCTCCAGGCTGAGCACAGTGCCCTATGCCTGTACACTGTGTGCTCTGCCCATGGCTGCACTCTGGACTATAACAGCCATTCAGTGGTTCATTCCTTCACCAGCCTGTGAGTAACTGGAGGGCCAGGACTGGCTTGTTCCTCTATCCTAACGCCTGGCACTGGGCTCCATACAGAGAAATATCAAATAGCTGTTTGCAGAGTAAGTCAAGAAAAGAAAATAAAGCTGGAGCTGCTGTTTTCTTATAAGGAAGGTAAACTTTGGGGCTGAAGGAGCCAAGAAGACACCAAGCCTCCAGGAGATGCAAGGAAGGAAGTCACTTACCAGTCTGTGACTATACAGCAGGAAGGGCTGTTAGGAAAGAAAGAGGCAAGAGGTGGTCATTGGTGTTTGCTTAGGAAATCAGAACCTCTTGCTAGTATTCTTACATATGGGGCACACTTGGGGTTTGTGTCTTTCACAGCCGCAGGTGAGTTGTTGGACCACCAATGGGATCCTCTTGAATGTAGAGACCTATCATCTCTGGAATAACAGGTTAGAACTGGGCAGTGGGTCTGTCATCCCACATCCTGGGGCAAGTCATGAGTCTCATCTCCCCTTTTGTCCTGTAAGGCCAGCCCCAGCCACCTGACAGGGTTGCTGTGAGAATCTAAAGCTTCAACTGAAAGGCATCTTCTAATGGGAATCATGGGCTCTGCCTGATCCACCAGGCAGTCAGCAGGGAGAGGCAAATCCATACTCTCCAAGGGCTGAAGGGAGCCAGGTGTATCCATGGCAACCACAGCAGTGAGGGAAGGGGCAGCTGGGCCTTGTGCAATGTGGGGTCATGTGCAGGAAGGAGGTTGGACTGGCTGGCTCCGGTAGTGTAGCTTTTCAATTTTGTCCAACAAGGTCCAACATTGTTCTCAAAAAACTCACGTGTCCAACTGGATATTCTTTGCTGCCCTCCATAAATGGCTGTTGAGAAAGAGAAAAAAGAACTGGCAGCATCTGGGGCCACTGCAAGTTCTGAGAGTCACTTATTTGGCCCCTGCCTTTCTTGATTGCTTCCCACACCAGCTTGTCAATAGGCTAAAACCCGGTATTTTGAACTTACTTGGCCCTGCCTCAGACTTATTGCATCAGAGCCTCTGGGGCCAGGTCCCAGAGATCTTTATTTTCAATAAGTTCATCCTGTGGAATAGTACAGCCAGCTAGCTGCAGCCTGTGTAGGCCCCACTGTGCCCTGTCCTTTACCTCCTGGCCATTGCTCCTCAGTGTTATTCAGATCCTGCAGCTAGGTCAGACCAGGCTCTTGCCAGTGACCCCCTGGTGCCATTCTGCTGTTACCTTCTCTTCCCTCTCACCCCACTCACCTCTGACACCCCTATAGAGCCCCTTCCCCTTAGCTATTACTGGGGTATAGAGTCTTCTCTATTGGTGGGGTAAGTGGTCGGGCCCCAGGCCTCTACAGGCATCAAGGGAAGTCAGTGCCCACCACTACCCAGGCCTTGGCCCCAAGGGAACTTACATTGATGTTCAGGAATCCAACAGCCTTCACCAAGATGTCACCATATATGCCCAGTGTGTCTACCCGGGACAACGGGAGTCGGTAGCGGTAGTGGAGAAAATGCTTTCCATTTATACTCACCTGGAGAAGCAGACAGAGCTCAGCTCAACAGCAGCCAGTGTTTGCTGGGTTCATAAGCACATCCCAGCATGGGTGAGTACTACTTCCTGGACATTTATCTGTTTGGTTTCACACCAGCTTTGCAAGGTAGGTACATTTTACAGATGAGCTTAAGTAACCTTCCCAAGGTGGCAGAGCTGGCAGATGGCAGAGCTGGTTTTGGAACTAGGGCACTTTTTATGCTCCTCTTTATCTATGACAAAGCACTGCTCCATCATCAACCCATGTACAGGTGAGAAACTGAAACCCAAGAGGCTGAGAGATAACTCATATCCCTCCAACTTCCCTCACACCGGCTGCCTTGTTCTTTGGAGTTGTTTGAAGTTCTCATTATCTTTCTGGCAGGAGTTCATATCAGAGGTTAAGGTCTCCCTCTTCCCTTCTGTCTCAGCTACAAGATGGGGATAATGAAAGAACCTACTTCAGAGGTTGTGGTGAGCATTTAATGGGTTTAGGTCAGTCCCTGGTATCCAGTAGATGCTCTCTAAATGCTTGCTATAAATATGGCAATGGATCTCTCCAGAGGCAGGCCCCATCCAGCTTCTTGCTGCCACATAGGTTTAGGGCAGTCTGGAACCAGGTGTAGCAGCTACTGAATGCTTTCCCTGCAATTCTACTCCCCACAGTGAGGTGGGGAATTAGTTGGGGGAAGGAAAGGAGGAGGGCCACCAGTTCTAGATTATTCCATGACTATCCCTTCCACTCACCTTCATCTCCTCATTTTCAAAGAGAAAGACGATGAGGAAGCTGGCCCCTTTCTGCAGGTCTAGGCCAGGCCACCGGGCCTCTGTTTGCCACTGTCCATAGTATAAGGTGTTGCAGATGACATGGGGTTTGGTGGTGTGGAAGCGAGGGTTGAAGTGGATGGCGATATCTGGCCGGGGACACAGGCTGCAGCCGCACTGGAAGTCCACCTGAAACCTGGTAGAGGGTGAGGCTTTCAAGCTGCCGTTCTGGTTGGAGACCTTCAGAGATCCTGAAGGCAGACTGGAACCCCCAGGTCGATCCTCTAAAGCTGAGCCCCAGCACCCGGGGTCTGCCCCCTTACCTGCGTGCACATAGCGGGACCACACCCTGCAGCATCACCATCTTGCCTGCATGAAGGCCGCCAAAAATTGTTGTGACATAAGGCACCATCTGCACAAGGGGAGAAACTCATACATGCAGGTTGGAGAAAGGGCCAAGGGACCCCTATAGGTCTGGAGTTTAGAGTGGGAAGAACAAGAAAACTCAACTTTCCCTCTTCAAACAGAAAACGTCTTTACAGGGAAAAAACAATCAAGTTTTTCTGAAGTATTCTCTTCCACCTACTCTTCTTTTTTGGACATACATATGTCAAAGCCACATTGCCCTGGGGAAGCCTAATCAAGCTCTACTGTCCCTTTAGAGTACCAGACAGCTAGCTTTCCCTGCTCCTAGGGCACAATAAGCTGCTGTGTAGCCAATGAGGCTTGACATCCCCTAAATGCTACCCTGGTCTCCAGAAGTCTGGTATGGAGGCTTCCTGGGGACTGGTTAGTAGCTGGAGTCTGGCAACTGGAAGGCCAAAAGAACTGACAAGTTGGGAACTGAGAGAGGGCCTCAATGTAGACCCTCGGAGAGATACCTAACAATAAGCAGCTATACTCCCTGGCACATCTTTCTTTCCTTCCTTGAGCTCCCAGAGCACTTTGCTCACATAACTATCTTGACTCTTGGTCTTTGGTGTAGAGGGGCTGGCTGGCTGTTTTCCCTGGGATACCACAAGCCCCTTAAAGCCGAAACCTCCTCTTTTCCTTTGGTAGACTCAATGCCACGTTGGTGTGCACAGCATGAGCTCTGCTGAGATGTTTGCAGAAGGAATGTAAACAGAACTGCAGGTACACTTTGGATAATATTGCCAGATCAGACTCAGAAGCCCAAACCACCTAGAAAGAAACGGTAGCCTCAGCACTGCCTTTCAGGTGAGCTTGAATCAATGGTCCTGATTCCAGAATCTATATCCCCAGTGGACTGACCCACCTTTCCAAGCATGTTAAGGAGGTTCTAGATGGCTTGGCCCTTTACTCAGGCACCTAGGGAGACTGGGAGTCCCAGCTGTCAGAGCCCCTACAGCACACACAGGCTCAGCAGTTCAATGGCTTTTACTTCCCAGGTTCCAGGAAGGGTCTGTAATTAACTGAGCTCATGCAGCCCTCTGGGAGGAGAGGATCAAGTAAGGGAAAGAGATAATTACTGCTCATGACTGGGGGTGTCTGTTGGGAATTCAGCATTCCGTAAAGCAGCTTCAGAAAGTCTCCCGGTCACTGAACAGGAGGAGGCAGAGAGGAGCCCCCATTGCATCCCCGATTGGGCAGTTCCTCCACAACCCTCCTTTCCAGACTGTGCTGAGGCTGCTCTTTCTAGTAGTCAGTGTCCCCCTCAACGATCTCACCCACTCCACCATCTTCCTAGCTACCCATCCCAGTAGGGGCACAGCACTGGGTTGCTGAGTGTCACTAATTTTAAAATGTAAGGAACCTGGAAGCCCAGCACCAAACTTACTCTCTCAAGTGGGAATTTGCTGGGTCAGCCACTTGGCTAAGCTTAAGAGAGCCTTTCAGAACCCTGAGCAGGTCCTAGGGGCAGGAAGGCCCAAGACTGAGGCCATTCCTATCCCTGGGGGAGTCTGGACCTGGCTGAGAGGATCCCTGAGATCTAAGAGGGTCCAGATCAGGACAGCTGCTCACCGGATGGAAGACTGGTGGCTGCAGAATGAAGGTGTCAGGAATCGGGTCCAGATTTTCTCCAGGTGACATGGGGAGAAGGTTTTCAGCCTCTGGGGCAGTGATCCCAGCTGTTAGTCTCACCTGCACCCTGCAGGGCACTAAAGCCTTTGAAGGAGAACTGGGAGGGAGGAGGTCCACCTCCAGGGCTCACACCAGACCCAGCACCAGTGGTGAACAGCAGAAGAAGCAGCTTTGGCTGAACTGGGGCTGAGGGCAGAAACTCTGTGTCCAGGGGTGGGTCTCTGGTACTAACCAACTAACTGGCCCCTCTGGGACTGAAGCTCATAACCATTGCAGAGGGAAGTGAGGGGCTGGCTCCTTGGTGGCCAGCAGGGCTTTGTGTTCCCAGGCTCACCTGAGCAGTCACTGGATCAGAGGAAGGGGTGGTGGCACATGTGTGCAGGTTCCAGAAGAAGCCCTGCCCCCAGTTTCCGGGATTCTCCTCCCCTTACCACCAAATGGTCTGGTCTTTCTCTCATTTCCCTGCCCTTTTCCCCGCCCCTCTTTTTTCCCCCAAGTTGTACAGCTCCTGGAGGCTCCATCTCAGGATTAAGTGGAAATGCCAGGTACCAGATGGGATCACAAGAAAGTGGAATGAGAAAAGAGAAGGGAGAGGAGCATCTCCTTGTCTGTGAAAAGGTAGCTTGGATTAGTGGGAGCACTGGACTGGAGAAAGAAACCTGGCTATTTGCTCAGCCTCTGCTTTAGCATGGTGCTCTGTGCCCTTGGACAAGTCACTTCCTCTCCCTTGGCTTCTCTTTGTTCATCTGCACATTGAGAGGCTGACCACAGTCTCACAGTCTTGCAGGAGGCTTGTATCTGAGACTGAGGCAAGATTCCTATTTTAGCAGACTTCTTCCAGTCCTCGTTCCAATTCCAGTAAAGCTTTCTCTTTAAAATCTGTACAGCTTCTCAACTTTAGCCTAAGTTGGGAGATCGCTGGATCTGACCATAGTGTCAGACTTGGCAGCAGGAAATTCCTGGCAGGATCAGGCTGGGTGAAGGGTGAAGTGCATGGGGTGCTCCTGGAATGAAGGGGAGTGTGCATGAGGACCCTAGGATGAGGAATCAGAGCCAGAACTAGTCAACCTGTGCTTCTCACCTGGAGGCTTGACAGAAATGCAAATTTGGGGTTCTACCCCAGACCTACCAACGAGGGCCCTCTGTGGGTGAGGTGCAGGGATCTGCATTTTAACATGCCCTCCAAGTGTGCTGCTGCACATGTATGCTTGAGAGACCCTGACTTAGGTCATAACTGAAAGGGATTTGGGTGCTAAGCCATGGTGTTTGTTCAGATCCTGCTGTGTAGATAGAGCTGGGTGGCAGAAGGTGTTTATGTGGGGAAATTTGATCAGAGCTGAGTGAGAGTGTGTGTGTGTGTTCAGGAAGAGTAATCTATGTACACAGAGGGGAGGAGAAACAAAAGGTGGAGAGACCAGTTGAGCAGGGATGTGGAACCCTGCACTAAAATCAGATCTGGGTTCTGTCCCAGCCTCAGTTGTGCAGATCTTGTGGCCTGAGGCCAGTGGTACCCTTCCCCCCACCCAGACCCAGTTCTTCTGCTGGGTAATAGAGATGGAGGAGGTATTTGTTTCCTAGGACTGCCTTAACAAAACACTACAGATTAGAGGGTTTAAATAACACAGAAATCCTTACTAGTTGGGAGGCACAGAGTCTAAGATCAAGGTGTTGACAGGTCTGGTTTCTTCTGAGGCTTATCTCCTGGGTTTGTAGATGGCTTCCTTCTTGTCCTCATGTAGTGGTTCGTGGTCTTTATATTTGTGTCCTAATCTATCTTATGTAAGGACTGTGGTCATATTAGATCAGGATCCTCCCATATGAGTGCATTTTACCTCACCTCTTTAAATGTTTTTTTCCTTTTCTTAAACTTTTACTGTTATCGTGCTGGGGTACATTGTGACATTTACAACAGCTCAATATATCATAGTTGAATTAATCCCTTCCATCATTATTCTTTATTATACCTCCTCCCATTCCTGGAATAGTTTCAACAGGTGTCACTTTTCCATTTTCATACATGAATACATAGTTTTTCCACCGTATTCACCTTCCTACCCCTTTTCCTTCTATCCTCCCCCCTCCCACTGGTCTTACCTCTTTAAAGGCTTTGCTCCCAACCAGTCACATTCTGAGGTCCAGGGAGTAAGGATTTAGCATACACTTTTTTCATAATAGAGGAGCTCCTGTAACTGCTCTCTTCAAATTCAAGGGCTAGTTCCATGGCAGCCGAAAGAAGAAAGTGGGGAGGCAGCTGAAAGAAGAAAGTGTATTTCCTTCTCTTTTTCAAAAACCCTGGTTTTACTCTTGGGGATATACCCAAAAGACTCTGACACAGGTTACTCCAGAGGCACCTGCACACCCATGTTTATTGTGGCACTATTCACAACAGCCAAGTTATGGAAACAGCCAAGATGCCCCACCACTGACGAATGGATTAAGAAAATGTGGTATCTATACACAATGGAATTTTATGCAGCCATGAAGAAGAACGAAATGTTATCATTCGCTGGTAAATGGATGGAACTGGAGAACATCATTCTGAGTGAGGTTAGCCTGGCCCAAAAGACCAAAAATCGTTATGTTCTCCCTCATATGTGGACATTAGATCAAGGGCAAACACAACAATGGGATTAGACTATGAGCACATGATAAAAGCGAGAGCACACAAGGGAGGGGTGAGGATAGGTAAGACACCTAAAAAATTAGCTAACATTTGTTGCTCTTAATGCAGAGAAACTAAAGCAACTGAGCAACTGAGGGCAATAGGAAAAGGGGAACAGGTACTAGAGAAAAGGTTAGATCAAAAAGAATTAACCTAGAAGGTAACACCCACGCACAGGAAATCAATGTGAGTCAATGCCCTGTATAGCTATCCTTATCTCAACCAGCAAAAACCCTTGTCCCTTCCTGTTATTGCTTATACTCTCTCTACAACAAAATTAGAAATAAGGGGAAAATAGTTTCTGCTGGGTATTGAGGGGTTGGGGGGGAGAAGGAGGGGGCGGAGTGGGTGGTAAGGGAGGGGGTGGGGGCAGGGGGGAGAAATGAACCAAGCCTTGTATGCATATATGAATAATAAAAGAAAAAGAAAAAAAAAAGCAAAACAAATAAACAAAAGGTCACGGGGGGGGGGGGGGCGGGGGGAAATAAAATGCACATGAAACCTTTGTCATTATGGAGAACATTCTGGTCCTGAAAGAAATCTGAATAAATGTAAAAGGATTAAAATTAAAAAAAACAAAAACAAACAAAAACCCTGGTTTTGAATAGCTAGGAGAGACATGAGTGGGCTTAAAGCACCTCAAGAACATTTCCATTCTCCAGAATTAGAAGGGACATTGGGGTCTGTGAGTCTGTCAGAGGATAGAGGAGGGCAAAACTCTCTTCCTGAGTCGAAGTGGCCAAAATGAGGGAGCACTTGGGAGAGAGGTCCAGAGAAGGACTGAGGTTGCAGAGGAACAACTGCACTGGTGACCCTGATGGTAGCATCTTTTCTCCTAGCCCAAGAATGGCATCCGCTATCCCCACCCCACTTCTTTACCCTTGTCTCTCTACTCTTGTGGTGAGTAATTCCTCAAGGACAGATAACTCTTGCACCTTTAGTATCAGACAAAATGCTTGGCACAGAGTGAGTATTTGAAATACATATACTGAGTGAGCGAATGTGACCAGTGATGCATATGGCTCTTGGCTAACTTGTTCCTGCTCTGTCTCTCCCCCAGCAGGTGTTGAATTGTGGCCCACACACAAGCTAGTCATAAGCTCTTTCAACTGGTCACAGATTATAATTGGGGAATTTTTTTTACCTCTATCCATTAGTTATTGATTAATAGTCTGGGAAGCACAGTCTGTGTTAGGGATCTTGAGGTATTCCACTCCTCTCCATTTTTCATCCAACAGCCTCTTTCATAATCCCTGCTCCTGAATGGGTGTGACTTTGGGCTTAGAGGAAGGACTAATGCATACATTAACCTTCTTTGGTCTATATCTTTCTTTCTTTCTTCTCTGACTGCCTTCTAGGTCACTGGAAAGTCATCCAGAGATCCTTCTTTCCTAGGGACCAGTTTCACATCACCCTGGAACAGGATGGGTGGGATAATTAGGAGAAATACCAGGCAAGAAGAATTGACAGAGCCTGACATTTGGCTGGATGAGGGATATGAGGGAACCCTATGAGTGGGAAGATTCTGGTGGTATTGGTGAAAAACAGGGAAGGTGTGGGTCTGATCCAGAGGGGTGACAAAGTGACTAATTCAATCAATATCACTTTGGATTGGGGGTGGCAACTGCAAGGCTGGAGCCTGGACACAGAGAGTGTTTAGTGTGCATTTGTTGAAGAAATGAAGGTGCTATTGCCTGAAAGTATTTTAATACATTGTGGGGAAAATGGTTTTAATGTATTTTAGTGCTATCCTGGATTGCAGAGGGGTTTTAGCTGTCATGGTTCACAAGAGTAAGTAGTTCCTGCTCCATCATGGTGTCAATGTAGAAATGACTACAGAAAGAACTGTTGGCTTTGCAAAATGACCCACCTCCTGGGATGACTTTAAATGAAAACAGTGTTCATATCTGGATGCCGGAGGCTCATGCCTTTAATCCTAGCTACTCAGGAGGATTGTGGTTTGAAGCCAGCCTCAGCAAATAGTTCATGAGATCCTATCTGGAAAAAAAACCAACACAAAAAAGGGCTGGTGGAGTGGCTCAAGTAGTAGAGTGCCTGCCTAGCAAGGGTGAAGCCCTGAGCTCAAAACCCAGTACTGGAAAAAAAAAAAGACTGTTCAAAATTCAATTACACAGTGGATTGTAGATATGGAAGGTGCACCAGTTACCTTCCATGGAAAAATTTCAGTGTCTGTTTAACTTTAGTTGATACACTTTTGACTCTCCTCAGGTTATGTTTATGGCTGAAAATGCTGTTCATCCTCACATTTATAGCAATGGTCATATCTGTCTATCCATTCTCACAGAAGACTGGTCCCCAGCATTCACAGTTCAGTCAGTTTGTCTTAGCACTGTCAGCATGCTTTCCAGCTGCAAAGAAAAGAGACCACCACCGGATATTTCTTTTTATGTGTAAACATGTGATAAGAATCCAAAACAGCCAGGCACCAGTGGCTCATGCCTGTAATTCTAGCTACTCAGAAGGCAGAGATCAGGAGGATTGTGGTTTGAAGCCAGCCTGGGCAAATAGTTCAAGAGACTGTATCTTGGAAAAACCCTTCACAAAAATAGGACTGGTGGAGTGGCTCAAGGTGAAGGCTCTGAGTTCAAATCCCCGGTACCACACACACACAAAAAGAATCCAAAGAAAACAAAATGGCAGTATCATAATGATACTTGATGCCACTGTCATCTTCCTATCAGAAAATTATCCCACTGAGAAAAATGAGCACTTTCATCATTTAGTCTTTAAACTTTAACCTTTGACTGAAAGTGACCTATAGGCAATGAAGAGTTCTTCCTTTCACTGCATTGTTACTTGTGTGCATTCTGGGCACACGTTGATTGCTGGTTCAGTCCAGGAACTGGCACGATTTTATTAGTCATACAGTATTAATGCAGGTGTCAGGAAATGTCAACTATAATTTCATTTTAGTTTTTTTAAAGCTTTTGGAAAAGTTTCAGGTCTTCATGTATTGTGCAATAACAATGATTTCTTTGGTTGTTTGGGGACATTCATTGCAGGCAATTGGCGTTGTAATAGGAAAACTTTTTATTAATTCCTTCCACCATGATTAATGCATGATAGGGCCTATCAAATGAATTTATCTGTTATAGTGAGATTATAAAATAAAGTGAGGTATCCAACCTTACTTTGAAAGTCACCCCAACTGTTTATATTTGGATTCCATGCACTGTGATCTTAAGGTTAACAGCATGAATTAACATGCATCTTTAAAGGACAATAATGACAGATCACTGCATATTTATCCAATTGTTTATATCTGCTGTCAAATTGTTTTGACATGGAAGGTTTTCAAGTAACATTGGCAGAGAGGTACAATGTGTCATCCCTATGGTGAAAATAAATTTATTTGTCATAAATTCATTTGTTCTTCAATCTCTGAAATAAAGGTATGAATAATATAGAGTATGACTGGTGTGATCAAGGCTTTAGTTTGGAAGTAAGAAAGATGGCAGTGATGATGAAATTGCTGTAGTCTGTCATCTGGGCTTTTTACTTGTACATTAAAGATTTTTTCCAAGTAGATTACTCTTGTTACTTCCTGCTAGCATCAGCATGAGCCCTATTGTCTAAAAGCTATTTCGTTTATGTTTAGAAAATCCATAAACATTTTTGTGTGCAATCTTGTTCCTTTTGGTATGTTTTAAGTCAAGATTGAATGTTACAGTACTTTAATTGTAAACTTTTGTCAAGCTTTTTTGAAGTTTCTTTACTTCTATCTTCTTGTCCTTCAGTCCTGTACCCTAAAATAAGAGAAACATTTTTGACAAAGAAAAAAGAATTAAAAACCTCTGAATTCTCAAGATTTTGAGTGTGCCTTCTCTCCCATGTGTCCTTCCTTTGCTCCCTAACGTTGGAGTAGGTGCCACCTCCCAGGCTTTGCCTACACTGTTTTGCATTACCTTGCGGTTTCCTCCTTCCTCTTGCCCTACCTTTCCCTTCAAAGACTCCCAGATGCCCAGGACTTCAAGAGCCAAAATCCACGCTCTTCTCGGTTCCAGGACGCTTTCACCTTGTCCGTGTCCTGCGCGCCTCCGTCGCCGCGCTTCGTCCCCCGCGCGCCTCCGTCGCCGCGCCCCGACCCCGCGCGCCTCCGTCGCCGCACTGCGCGCCCCGCCCCCGCGCGCCTCCGTCGCCGCACTGCGCGCCCCGCCCCCCGCGCGCCTCCGTCGCCGCACTGCGCGCCCCGCCCCCCGCGCGCCTCCGTCGCCGCGCCCCGCCCCCGCGCGCCTCCGTCGCCGCGCCCCGCCCCCGCGCGCCTCCGTCGCCGCGCCCCGTCCCCCGCGCGCCTCCGTCGCCGCGCGCCCCGTCCCCCGTGCGCCTCCGTCGCCGCTTCTGACCTTTCTCTGCCCAGTCTGCGCGCGGCCCCGCCGCCGTTTGCCCTGCAGCCCCCTCTCCGCGCTCCTCCGCCCTCCCCTCCGCGGTTCCTAGCCCGGCAGGCCCCACTGCTCACAATCCCGCGACTCCGCGGACCCGGGGCCGCGCCGACTGGGAACTCTCCAGGCCAGTTGTCCCTTGCGAGGCCTGGGGGCAGGCGGGCTGCAGCTGCGGGATGGGCCTGAGCCCGACCTTGAGGAGGGAGTATGGGCCCAGCCCCTCTAGGTTTCCACTGTCTGGTCTCAAGTCCTCCTCCAGAACCACTAGTACCGGGTCAAGTGACGATCAACCTGCCATTGGACGTTCAACCGTGCTCCACTCAGGTTTGCCCCAGGAACGGGGCCTCTACCCAGGAAGCCGCCGGGCCCAGGCCAAAGCCCGGAAGCCTTCCTGGTTTGTTCTCCACTTCCCAGCGCCAGCGAGTCGTTGGGCCTTCAGAAAAGGCAGGAGAGTTGTGTTCAGGGCTCCTTCTCAGACATATTTAAATGCTTGTTAACCAGAACGAGTGGGTATTTCCAAATGGCCACGTGTTACTTAATCAGAACGAACCCGGCATCTAGTGACCCCCCTCACTTCTTTCATTTCCCAGAATCTGTTCCCAGCAGTTCCGAAGACAGCCCCGTCCATCATACATCCATTTTTTTTGGTTTCAACTGGGAGCTAGGAGCGGTTCTAGACCAGAGCTCCTGGCCCATCTTTCCATATCAAGGTGCCGTTTGGAACTTCCCATTTACAGGTTACATTCTGTGAAGGCAATTGTGGATTAAACATCATTTTCCCCTCTTGAATTAGAAGAAACGGTGGAATCGCAAGCTTTGGTCCAGTACTTGCCCAAGCAGTCCCAGCAGGACATGTTAGAACAAGGCCAAAGTGTCCAACAGGGGTAAGATTCTTTCTTTGAAAGGACTGGGTCTGGGTCTCCGGCTGGGAGAAGGCTTTTGAAGAATTGACTTGGATGGCAGTTTGTGAAATAAATCCTGACGTGGTTTCCTAGTGAATCAGCTATCACTACTCAGTGATAGCTGGGGGGCTGCTGTGCTCTTGCTCATAGCTGATCTAGGCTTGGGATTTGCTGGCTGTAGCACACGTAGTAGCACTTTCTAGTCAGCGTCATTCTCCACTGTTTACAGTATTGTGGGTTGGTGTCACTAACCAATGAATGATGCAGTTTTCTTGCAGATGTCTTCAGTGCACTTTCATTAAAAACATGATGGTTGCCTCTTTTAAAAAAAATTTTGGAGGGGCTGAAATTTTGGAGAAAGGCCACACTGAAAATACACTGTACCTTGGTAGGAGAGTTAAAGCTTGGGGATGATAAAGCAAAAGCCATTTTTGAGTTGGTGGTATAGTAGATGTGTAAATATGCACTTTCCCATTCAGTCCTCTTGACAAGCAAGCATTCACACACAGGTCTTTTTAGCTTCAAAAGATTTCACTGTACCAGATTACCTCAAAGGCTTGAATAAACCTGTTGTCTCCCATTTCAGTCCTATGTTCCAAGGGATAAGATACACCCACTTATTTCACATTACTTTCACTTACGATGCTGTGGCTAGTATGGAGCTAATTGTTGGAAGAAACAGCCCCAGAGTGTAAGGGGCTTCCCTTGTCTCAGCTAGGGAAGTGACTGAGGCCCTTTGCATTTCATTATAAACTCTTAAGTACTGTTTTCTTTCTTTCCTTTTTTAAGTTAATGTGAATGTATCACTTTGATAAACATTTAAAAAGAATAATTAACAGTAAAAAGAAAAGCTGAAAGCTACTGTCAATTTTGAGAGAGGTGGGAGAATGGTATTTATTTGGGAATAAGTAGGAAATATTGCAATGTGAAACGTACATGCTATGGAGGCCCAAACTCCTAAGATTCCATATGCCAGATCTGGCCAACCATTCCTAAATACCAAATAAAGCGGCATGGTGAAGGCAGAGAAAGGAGATTTATTATACGACTTGGGGCAGAGTAAGCACTCAGCTCATCTTCAGCCATCTTTCAGGGTATAGACATGAGCTATAGGTTTAAGTAGACAAAAGAACTGGGGTCAGGGGACAAAGGTATGCATGGTTAAATAGTTACAGTCACAGGTGTGTTCTGGTTGACCATGTCTCAGTCCAAGGGTCCCTAGAGGGGTTTCAAAGAAGATGTTATCGTTGTCATCACTTGAGGGGAGCAGTCTGGTTCCCATGAGATGATTGCTTCTGCTCCAGGGTGCAGCCTCATCATTATACGTAACTGTCCTCATTTGGAGGGGTGGTCTGTCCTGTACATTTCACTGTTCCTTATAGAAAGTTTCAGTCCTTTGTCATAAAGATGTTATCAATTCTGTCCTTTCTGGAATCCAAGGTGATTTTAAAGTGACTGTAAAGAGAATGGCTTAGAGCAAAGACAGATACAAAATGGAGGCAAGGATACTAAGCTTCTCCTGTTTTTAGTTAATTTGTGGGCCCAAGTAAGGAGTCAGTACATTTCAGCAAAAGCCGTTTGAGTACCTCTTACATGGGGACCATGAGTGTATTCCAGGGGACTGGGTGCAGGACAACATTTAAAGGCAAAATAAGAAGGATAACATAAATTGTTTGAAACCATAATCTTTGGCCACAGGATTATTAACAGGTGTTCAAAGACTGATTAAGGGGGGGAGGGTGTCGTTCCAGCCCAAGTTGAACAGACAGTCCTGGAGAAGTATTCTTTGTGAGCAGTTGCGTGGTCTTTATGTGAAGTTGTGGTTTTGTGGAATGTCTTATAGACTTGTCTTAAGACAGATCTTATAATCAGGCAGTTGGTGCACAGTGGTCCTTCCTTCATGGCCTCCTTCTGGCTCCATTTCCTCAGGGTTCCACACTCCTCACTGCTGTCATTAGTGTGTTAAACAATTGATAGGAAATCAGGGAGCAGCAATCATTTTGTAAGAAAGTTAAGGATTTTGCAGAAATAAATTAGGAGGAACTGTTTCCTCCAGTGTCAAATTTGGAAAGTGTTGTAAAATCACAAATCTGAAGTGATTGTTAGTACAGATTTTCCAATAATTGTGCAATAGCATTGTTTGTTAACGATGTGATTGCAAAATCCCTTAGGGAGAAACCTGTAATTAACTTGGAGACTGCACTCAGCCCAAAGAGACCAGAGTTGAAGTCACCCAAGCCTGAGAGTGAAGGCAAGTTAGAAAAGCAAGCAGCTGAGGTAGGTATAACAAGAATTCTTAAAGTAGTTTAGCTTCTGGCCATTTCTCTACATATTAGACTGTATTCTACTTTAGACTGTTTCTAATAAAAACTCACACTGAGTTGGGATGTTGGTTGTGCTTATTTTTTTCTCTGAAAAAACCAACTTTACTGAGGCATAATTAGTATGTATTTAAATTCCACTTCTTCAAAATGATACATTTTGACTGATGTACGCAACTGTGAAACCATTGCCAGAATCAAGATAATGACCATCTCTATCAAGCATAAAATTTTTCAGTCTGGTGCCAGTGGTCCACGTCTGTAATCCTGGCCCCTTGGGAGGCTGAGATCAGGAGGATTGCCATTTGAGGCCAGCCTGGACAAATAGTTGGTAAGACTCCATCTCAAAATAACCAGAGCAAAATGGTCTGAATTTGTGGCTCAAGCAGTAGAGTGCCTGCTTTGGAAGTGCGAAGTCCTAGATTCAAAACCCCAGTTCCACTGGAAAAAAAAAATAAAATTTTTTTTTCAAATGCCTCTTCCTACCTCATGCTTACTTGTAAGCATCAAGTGTTATACTTTGCCTTCCTATAGAGTCACAGAGTTTGCGTTTTCTAGAGATTTATCAAGTGAAATATTGTATGTGCTTTGTTTTTGTCTGTCTCCTTTCACATAATCACTTTGAGTTACATCCTTGTTGTTGCTTGTTAATAATTCCTTCCTGGGGGTTCCCACCCCGCCCGCACCGCCGGGACCCGGCCGCCTGGCGCGAGTCCCCGTCCGGGCCTGGCTTGGCCCCAGCTTGGAGCGGCCGCGGCCGGCCCGGCGGCGCTGCGGTCTGAGAGTCCATGCTGTGATTCTCAATGGAGAGTGAAAGCACAGATTCATGATGAAAACCAGCCCCCGTCGGCCACTGATTCTCAAAAGACGGAGGCTGCCTCTTCCTGTTCAAAATGCCCTGGGTGAGACATCAGAGGAGGAACCTAAAAGACCCCCTGCCCAACAGGAGCCTAGTCAAGCACAGGCCTCCAAGGAGGTGGCAGAGACCAGCTCTTGCAAGTTTCCAACTGGGATCAAGATTATCAACCACCCCACCATGCCCAGCACACAGGTGGTGGTCATCCCCAACAATGCCGACATCCAGAGCATTATCACAGCATTGACTGCCAAAGGAAAAGAGAGTGGCAGCAGCGGACCCAACAAATTCATCCTCATCAGCTGTGGAGGACCCCCAGCTCATCCTCCTGCCCTCCAGCCTCAAGTTCAAAGCAGCGATGATTCCAAAAGGACAGAAGTGATCACCGAGACGTTGGGCCTTAAGCCTGCAGCTAGGGATGTGAATGTTTCTAAGTCACCTGGAGCCCCTCCAAGGCAGAGACGGGAGAACTGTGCTGGGGCTGAGGCAGTGGGCTGCAGTCTGGACAACAGCCTAACCAATATCCAGTGGCTTGGGAAGATGAGTTCTGACGGGCTGGGCTCCTGCAGCATCAAGCAAGAGGTGGAGGAAAAAGAGAACTGCCACCTGGAGCAGACTAAGGTTAAGGTTGAGGAGCCCTCGGGAACATCAACGTCCTGGCAGGACTCTATGTCTGAGAGGCCACCCTACTCTTACATGGCCATGATACAGTTTGCCATCAACAGCACTGAGAGGAAGCGCATGACCTTGAAGGACATCTATACTTGGATTGAAGACCACTTCCCCTATTTTAAACACATTGCCAAGCCAGGCTGGAAGAATTCCATTCGCCACAATCTTTCTCTCCATGACATGTTTGTTCGGGAGACATCTGCCAACGGCAAGGTCTCCTTCTGGATCATTCATCCCAGCGCCAATCGCTACTTAACGTTGGACCAGGTGTTCAAGCAGCAGAAACGACCCAATCCTGAGCTCCGCCGGAACGTCACCCTCAAAACGGAACTCCCACTGGGTGCACGACGGAAGATGAAGCCACTGCTACCACGGGTCAGCTCGTACCTAGTGCCCATCCAATTTCCAGTGAACCAGTCCCTGGTGCTGCAGCCCTCAGTGAAAGTGCCATTGCCCCTCGCGGCTTCACTCATGAGCTCAGAGCTTGCCCGCCATAGCAAGCGGGTCCGCATTGCCCCCAAGGTGAGCATTCTCTTTTTCTGCAAAGAGAGACTCCAGACAATTAAAAATGATGGACCTACAGCTTGTGAAATATTCTTCTAAGTGTTCCTTGAGAAACTTACAAATCTAGCTGGGTAAGCAAGTCACAAAAACACAGGGTAACTTAATAGCATTATAGTAGCTAAGAAGGAATCTGGATTTTGTTATAAGTGGTGTCAGAAGGCCCATAAATACCTGATGAGTTGGTAAGAATGCAGACAAGGGCAATTATGACACATGGACTGGGACGGGTGAGGAAGAGTTCAGGAGGCAGAAGGTCCTAGAAAGAAGTGGATCTGGGTGGGCTAGCACATGTGGACAGAGCACACTGCTGGGCAGCACATGGGCAGGAGATGTGGGTTTGAACCTTTGTTCCTGGTAGTAGTAGAGTAGACCCCCTTTCACTTGGGGTTTAAGCCTCAGTCCTGTTGGCATTTGGGGCTGGATAATTCTTTGTGGGGATTGTGCACTGTTTTCCCACCATGTATCAGTAGCACCCCCAGCTATGATAATTAAAATGCCTCTGACTTGCCCCTGGGTAGAGAAATCATCTCTGGTTGGGCATCTTTGGTATAGTTTGGGGGAAAGTTAAGAAGGATAAGGTAAGATCACACTGATGGCCCATCAAGTTTGGACTTAACCCTGGGGAGACAGTTTTGTGAGCAAGTCTGATGTGTAACCAAAGTAAGGGGTGCCCTGCACCTCCTTTAGTGAGGTAGGAATGGCATGGACTCAAGTTGAGAGAGTTGGGTTGGCTTTTTCCTTTTTTCTTTTTTAGTGTAACAAGTTTGAACTCAGGGCTTTTTGTTTATAAAGAAAGTACTCTACTGCTTGAGCCACACCTCCAGTCTTTTGAAGATGAGGTCTTGAGATCTATTAGCCCAGGCTGACCTTGAAACTCAGCCTCCCAAGCAGCTAGGATTGCGCTGGTGGAGTGGCTCAAGTGGTAGAGCACCTGCATAGCAAGGTCCTGAATTCAAACCACAAAAAAAGTACAGCCAGAAAAAAAAACAAAAGTAGCTAGGATAACAGGTGTGACCCACCGGTGCTTGGCTGTATTGGCTTTTATTAATTTATTTAGAGACAGGACGGCCTTGAACTTATGATCCTCCTGCCTCAGCCTCCCTAGTACTGAGATTACAGATGTGTGCCAAGTCTGGCTCTTGCTTTTATTTTAATTTAAAATTTAATTTAATTAAAATGTGGAGGGGCCGGGGTTTGAAGTCAGTGCTTCGCATTGCAAAGTAGGCACTCTACAACTTGGGCCACACCTGCGGTCTGTTTTGCTTTAGTTATTTTAGAGATGGGTTTGGCAGTGGCAGGGGGCGGGGGAGGCAGTCCAAACTGTGATTCTCCCAAACTCAGTTTCCAAGTAGCTAGGGTTACAGGCGTGAGCCACCAACACCCAGCTGTATTTAATAATTTTTAATTAAAAAATATTTTTAGGGCTGAGGATGTAGCTCAGTGGTAGAGCACTTGCCTAGCATGTCCAAAGCTCGTTCCCCAGCACAAATCAATCAATCTAAAATATGTTACACATGATATTATACATATCATACTTCTTCCCCCTCCCCCTTTTAGCTACATTCCATCTTCCCTCTCCTACCTTTACCCACATCACACCTGCTGCCCAGATAATAATGCATGTTAACCAGGGGTGGCTGCGCATGCTTGTAGTCCCAACTACTCTGCAGGCTAAAGTAGAAAACACAGCAAGATGCTAGCTCCTAAAAAAAAAAGATAATTTACTATGCTTTCTTCCCTATTTTAGCCATGCTCTTGGTACAGTATCCACACAGAGCCAACCACAGCCATTTTGTATATAACATACAATGCATAAAATACTGAAAATGTGAAAAAAAAAATAATTCCTTCCTTTCTATTACTGAGCACTATTTCATCATATGGATGTATCACTATTTGTTTATCTGTTCACCTGTTGATGGACATTTTGGTTGTTTCTAGTTTTTGGCTATTGCAAATAAAGCTGCTATGAGCAGTTGTGTACAAGTCTTTGTACAAATATGTTTTCCTCTGGAGTGAATCCTCAGAGTAAAATAAAATTGTTAGATCACATTGTAGGTAAATGGTTAACTTACTGGTTTCCAAAGTAATTGTGCCATTTTGCATTCTGTCCAGCAGCGTATGAGAGTTCCTGTCCCTCCATGTTTCTCATCAGCATTTGATATTTTTGCTATTCTAATGGGTGTTGGGTATCATCATGGTTTTATTTTGCATTTTCCTAGTAATATTGAAAATCTTTTAGCGTAATTATTTGCCATCTTTCTATATCTTCTTTCAAATCTTTTTTGCATTTTTTTCTGTTAGTTTGTATGTTTTGAGAGTTTTTCAAAAACTCTGCATATAAGTGCCTCATCAGATTATGCTTTGCAGTATTTTCCCCCAGTCTGTGCCTCAGGTTTTTGTGGTACTGGTGCTTGTGATGAAACCCAAGTTATCATCTCTTTCTTTTATGAATTGTGCCTTTGGTTTTGTATATAAGAAATCTTGGCCTAATCCAGAGTCACAAAGATTTTCTCCTATTTTTGTCTATATATTTTATAGTTTTATTTTTTACACTTACATCTTTATACATCTTGATTTAATTTTTGTATATACTGTGAGGTATGAATCAAAGTTTATTACTTTATATTATTTATTTACTTTTTGTGGCACTGGAGATTGAACCCAGGGCCTTGTGCTTGCTAGACAAGTGCTGTACCACTTGAGCTAAATCCCCAGCCTTTTTGTTTTGTTTTTATTTTTTGTTTTTGAGATAGGGTCTCACAGACTTTGCCTGGTTTGGGCAACTTGTGATTCTCTTGCTTCTGCCTTCTTAGTGGCTGAGATTGTATGTGTGTGCCCCCATGCAGGCTTAAGGATATACAATTAGTCTAGCATCATTTTTGTTGAAAAGACTTTCCTTTCCCCATGAGTTGCCTTTGCTCTTGGCCATGTAATTGTGGGTCTCTTTCTCACCTCTTTATTTTGTTATGTTGATCTTATGTGTTTATTGAGAGGCTAGTATCATATTATCTTGATTACTGTGCTTTATAATAACTCTTGAGGACAAGTAATATTAGCCCTTCAATTCTGTTCCTCCCTCCCCCAGAGTTGTTTTGGTTATTTTAGGTTCTTTAAAAATGCTGCTGAAATTTTGACTGGCATTTCACAGAGTCTTTAGAGAACTGGCAGTGACAGTTTGAGACCACTGACTCATGAGCAAGGTAGTCTATCTACTTAGGTCTTGTGTAATTTATCTAACCAATGTTTTGTAATTTTCACTGTACATATATTGCACAGCTGTTAGAATATTTGTGGATCTTTTAATAGTACATATTTTTGATACTATTGAAATGGTATTAAAATTTAAAATAAAAATTCAATTTCTGATTGTTACCAGTAATGGAAAACAATTAGTTTTGTATATTTATCTTGTATCTTTCAACCTTTCTGCTGACTTATTTGTGTTAGTAATTTGTTTTGATAGATTTCATTGGATTTTTAATATAGATGATCATATCATCTACAAATAAATGCAGTTTCACTTCTCCCTTTCCAACCTAGATGTGTTTTATTCATATTTATCAAAGGACATGCCAATAATTTGTAGCATGTTTCAAGACCATTTGTTCAAATTACTAAGACTGATTTATGTTAACAGAGAACAGAATAAGTTGGTAACTGTTATGATTATTCATACAACCACACTGCACAGCACAGTAAATCAATATGTTCTTATAAATGTTTTTAATTTAACACCATATCAAGTAGATTCTTTAACAAGTTAATATGATGCAGAAAGTTACTGTTGTCTCTGTAGCTGCAGGGTGGCCATTGCCTTTAATACTTCATAAGAGTCCTTTTAAAAAAGTTTATGGTGACTTGTATTTTCAAGGGTGGGCTCTGGTAACATTATAACCAAAAAGCAGACCTACAGAACTCACTGTCCCAAAACTGGAGTAAGAGAAGAAAGTAAGGGTTTCACTTACTAGTGAAATAAGAAGTACCTTGTTGCTTCTTTGCAGCTTTTTGCTCAGCAGAGATTAAAAGATATTCTTGATCTTGCTCTCAAGGTCCTCCCAAATAATTTCAGAAACAGGAAGAAGATAACAATTTATATTACAAGATAAGCAATATCACCAGCTCCTTATGTGAAATCTTGTATAACACTGACACATTGTTTCATTTGGCTTTCTCTATTTTAGAGTTACTCCAGGTTCTGTTTTCATTAAAACTTGACTGAGGTCTCTGTCTCTGCATGGTTCTTTGATAGGCTTGCTAAGTTCACCTCCTCTAGGTTCTCCCAGGCCATGTCGGTGGACCCTTTTCATCACTTACTCCTATTTCTATGGCTTTCAGCAACCCATGTACATGCCCTTTAAAATACGGGAGATTACTGACTGCTTTATATAATGGGTGAATTAATGGCAAGAAAGAAGATGAAATAAATGCATCTTGGGGTCCTAACAAATTAGGAACACCAGCTCTTTTCCTAAAATGAGGCCTTAGAGATTGCCGAACACAGATATAGGCACCCCCACACCACCCACATTCTCCATCTTTTCCTTTCCATTCCCTGTATCCAGCCATATGTCATCTCCAATTTCATTCTCCTACTTACTCTGTACCAGCCATCCCAGCTTCCTTTATGTTTGTCTACCTCCAATTAACCAAAGCCATTTCCTTCATCAGGGCCTTTGCCTCCTCTGCATTGCTTTTCCCTGATTTTTCAAATCCAGCCCATAACTCCTGTGTTAAGGTCCTAAAGCTCAGTGTGGCTGTATTTGAAGTAAGGAAGTAGTTAAGGTTAAATGATCTGATAGGATTAGTGACAAGAGACTCCAGGGAGCGCTCTCTCTTTTACCCACCATCCCACCCACTGTGAGTGCACACAGAGAAGTCATGTGAGCACAGAGCAAGGTGGTAGCCACCCATAAGGCAAAAGAAGTGGCCTCAGTATGACATCTACCTTACTCTACCTTGATCTTGAACTTCTCAGACTCTAGAATTAAGAGAAAGTTAACATTTGTTGAAGTCACCCAGTCAGTAGGATTTTGTCA